TTGATAATATCTATTTCAAAAACTTAGCACTCTGTATTGTTATTCTAAAATATAACACAATACAGTGGAGTAACAAGATTTTTAACCTCAGGACAGTTTTGCAAAGTATTCTTAAAACATCCTATATCAAGATCATCTGAGGCACCTGGTAAGAAACCAGATTCTAAACCCATCTGTTCCCCTCAGCAGTATATATCAGCAGATCCGCCTGTTCTGTACCCCACTCGGTCTCTGGTGAATCCTCTCACCTCCCGCCCCACACCCAGCTCTTGTATGCATATGCAAATCTTTAAAAAATAATAATAATAAAATTATTTTAAAATCAATATAAAGTAAACAGTCCAGGTTCCTAATGAAGAGTTGATGAACAGCACTTAAACCCATTGTGGGGGCCTCCCTGGTGGTGCAAGGGGTTAAGACACAACCTATGAAGCAAACCGCAGCCTCTGCGGCACGAGTTCGATCCCCGGCTGGCCAGGGAGCAACCCACATGGCGCAGCAGACCTCTCCTGCCTCGCCCGCTGCTCCCCTCAGCAGTGTTATTTCAGTCAATCTGCCTGTTCTGCTCCCCGCTTTGTCTCTGGTGAATCCTCTCACCATCCACACCTCTGGCCTGTGCCCTGTTCTTGTATGCATAAATAAATAAATCTTAAAAAAAAAAAGAAAACCCTTAATTTAAATAAATAAATAAATAAATAAACCCATTGTGACTGTGGATTCAGAAAGTCCTAGGTTCATCTACACTGAGAAAATGATATGCCTTTGTAGCTATTTGAGAAATAAATAATTTGAGGTCAACATTATACTTATTATTTACTGCTTAAATAAAAGTAAAGAAATTACTTCCTCTTTTACCTTATCACCCCACCCCACTCCAAAGTTTGGTTATTTTACCTTAAAAAAAATTACTTGATAATAGAGTACACAGTGTAAACAATCTGGCAAAGCCAGCCTTTCCAAATTCATTGTGGATCTGGAAACCCACATGGCGCAGCAGATGTCTCCTGCCTCGCCTGCTGCTCCTCTCAGCAGAGTATTTCAGTAGATCTGCCTGTTCTGCTCCCCACTCTGTCTCTGGTGAATTCTCTTACCCTCCCACGCCTCTGACCTGTACCCCAGTTCTTGTATAAATAAATAAATCTTTAAAAAAAGGCAAAAAAAAAAAAAAAGCAGGGACTGATTTGGAATTCCAGTACTTTAGCTATAAAAGAAGGGCACTACTGTGCATGCTTATTTATTTATTTTTTTAAATTTATTTATTTATTCATACAAGCACTGGGTACAGTCAGAAGCGCGGGAGGGTGAGAGAATTCACCAGAGCCAGAGCAGGGAGCAGAGCAGGCAGAAGGACCGAAGCACACTGCTGAGGGGAGCAGCAGGAGGCAGGAGAGGTCTGCGCGCCATGTGGGACCCTCCTCTGGTGGCCTGGGAGCAGCCGGGGAGCAGCCGGGGAGCAGCCCGGGAGTGAACCGGCGCTAAAGAGGCTGCGGGCAGCTTCGCAACCCAGTGCTCAACCGCTGTGCCACCAAGGAGGCCCACTACTGTGCATGTTTAAATTGTGCTAAGTTGGGGCCAAATAAGGGGGGTGCAATTGTATGGGGAATATAAAAATAAAAAAAAGTTGTGCTAAGTGGGCAACAATTATGAAAAGATGTTCAGCATCACCAATTATCAAAGAAATGACAATGAGCTATCACCTCACACCCATTAGAATGGCTACTAAATAAAAAGAAAACAAGTGTTAATGAGAATGTTGAATTGGAATTGTTGTACAATGCTGATAGGACTGTAATTGGAAACTGCTATGGAAAACAGTAAGGAGTTCCCTCATAACATTAAAAATAAAACTGCCATAGGATCAGCAATCCAAAAACACATACCCACATCCATAGCAGCACCATTCCCAATGGCCAAAATATGTAAACAACCCATACTAGCCTCATGAATCCCCCATTATAACACTCATTGCTTCACACTTTTATTTGCGTGTTTACATTTCTTTCTCCCTAAGTAAAAGTTGAAAATCTAAAGCAGTGTTTTTTTTGGTTTTGTTTATTGAGGTAACATTGGTTTTCAACATTGTATATTCAACATGCTTCATTTATGTTTTACCACACCACACTCACTAGCAAGGTAATGAAAAGTCTTTTAATTTACAACTCTATGGCATAACAGAATCACAAAGTTCTTTATTTAGTGCATGTATTTTTCTAAAGGGAGCATTTCATAACTTTATTTGATTCTTAGAGTCGTCAATGACCCAAAGACACAGTGAGAAACAAAACTGTACCAACAGTCAGATGAAATAAACCTAGATGTAGAATGTACTGTAGCTTCAAGAAAATTCATATTATCAAAGGGAAGGAATAAATGTCCTTAACTCTAAGGATAGTTCTGAAAGAAGAGGATACTGTTTCACTGTCAAAGACCTGCAGAGGGGCATCCATGGACTTGACTTAACCCTGACCTACCGGGCAGGAGAAAGTTTTGTCTTTATAATACGAAGTGCCCACATATTAAGCCTACATGAAGCAGGCTCTTAATAGATGTTTGCTGAATGAAGCTGAATGGTATCTTGACTGGGTCTGAAGAAATCTAAATCTGTTCAACTAGAGAGGTAGCCCACAGTAAAATGACACACGAGGCTGTCTCTAGGATATATCAAGTTATGATAATTCTTCCCTGAGGAAGGTATTTGTACATAATATACTAATTTTCTTATCCAGAGCTAGAGAAATGAAAATTGGCTGGATTCCTATGGGCTTTACCTATATTTTTTTCTCCTTTATTTCAAAATGCTGACTTTAGGATAAGAATAAATCATAGGTTACAGTAAAGTCCTTACAACTATTATAGGAAAAATCATTTTCTTTTGAATGTCAGTGAATAAATCAAGACTTCCAAGCTGAGCACTTGGTATCTTGAGAATAGGAGTTGAAGAAGTAACCAAAAATTAATCACTTTTGTTTATTCTTTTCAAAATGCTTTCAAACACCATTCTCACCTCCTGTTCTATAGCTTTCAGAAGTTCAGGACTACCGCTGACCTGGAAAGAGAGAAAGATCATAGAAGAAAAACACATCATGTATTTACTAGGTGTTAGCATATTTGTACGTATCTTTGGCTCATACAACCTCTCAGGTTCTCAAGATCCCTCTCTGTATTATCTACTAAATTAAAATGAGAATTTGAGGGGTCGGTTTTGTCTTGTTTTGAGTTAAAAATCATTTCTTTTAAGTCTCTTGTTTAAGAGGTACTATGGTTTTGAAGTTACCACTTGAATCATGTCCTTAAACTTATCAATAAGTAGCTTATCTCTTAAACTATTTTTCTATTTACACAACTCTATGAAATTTTCCTGAAATCCATTCTAATCATCTCAAATATTTAATATACCAAATATTCCAGACATGCATAGTGGGAAATGTTTAACACACCCTTCTTTCTCCATCTTCCATTTCTGAAACTCTTAGGTAACACTAATAACTGAAGGGTGACCAAGATTCAAATGCTTTTTCACAAAAACATCTATTTATTAATATTGTTTATTTATAACTATACATTTTCCCTATGTGAGGCAAATATTTTTCTCTTAAAAACAAAGCAAGTTGAAGGTTTAAATATTCTTGGTCTGGAAATTCATTGTCTTTTTGAAAACCTAAACTACATCTGCCAAAAGTCTCTAATAATTCCTTCAAAACACCATAGATTGGGCCTCCCTGGTGGCGCAAGGGGTTAAACACTGCACCTGGAAGCAATCTGCAGCCTCTGCAGCATGAGTTCAATCCCCGGCTGGCCAGGGAGAAATTCACATGGCGAGGCAGACCTCTCCTGCTTTGCCCGCTGCTTCCCTCAGCAGTGTATTTCAGCCAAACTACCTGTTCTGTTCCCCACTCTGTCTCTGGTGAATCCTCTCACCACCACCCCCCACCTCTGGCTTGTACCCCATAAATAAATAAATCTTTAAAAAAAAAAACCACCATAGATTAACACAATATGATACAGTTTCTAGAAATCAAATTGTTCTCCCTTAAAGTTTGTTTATATGATCTTGGACTCTGGATTCTCACCATCTTTAACATTCTAATTACTCATTTCATCAAAAACTAGGTAAAAAGTATGGTGGATCTCTGTAAAAGTGGAAAGATTGTAAATATTTATTTTTTATATTAAAAAAATGGTGCTACAGAAAAATACTTAAAGCATAAATCCATTTATCTTACAAAGACAGTGAGTGCGCTATTATCTGTGTGCATATGCAAAGGAAAAGGTTTGGAGGATATATCAACTATTCATAATGACTAGAGAGGAGTAGAAACAGGGTTGGAGAAAATTTATATTTTTATTCTAGATTCAATTATCAATTAAAATTGTGAATCTACATTAATATAACAATGTTTTTAAAAAATATTAAGCCTGTTTTATAAACTATTTGGAATCTGAGCAAGCACCTTAGTAACATTTCTAGCATCTGGTTTGTAAATGGCGCAATGGGCATTGCTAAGTATTTTCTAATGCAAAAGGTTAGGTAATTTTTCTTCAACAAGAAATAGTCAAGGGGGCCTCCCTGGTGGTGTAAGGGGTTAAGATGTAGCACTATGACGCTATCTGCAGCCACTGCAGCACAAGTTCAATCTCCAGCCAGGGAGCTAACCCACATGGAGTAGTAGACCGCTCCTGTCTAGCCTGCTGCTCCCCAATCTGCCTGTTCTGCTCCCCACTCTGTCTCTGGTGAATCCTCTCACCCCCGCATCTCTGGCCTGCACCCCAGCTCTCGTATGCCTAAATAAATAAATCTTTAAAAATAAAAAAGAAATCGCTAAGACTATTTTTCCTAGGCTAAAAACCTTGTTTAAATATCAATGAGTATGTAATAAATACTTACGTGCCAACTGCTTCAAAATATAAGCTTTATTTTGAAGCAAATATAAGCTTTATCTTATAAAATAATCATTATTTTCAAATTGCTGTTTATTTAGATATTTACCAATTTTCATCCTTAGTATACATTAGCATCCTGATCAACAAATAACCAAATAAATGTGCCAAAAGAACAAAAAAAAATCACATCCACTTAGAAGGAGCTAATTTCATTCTCCCTTCTCTAAACAAGAGCTTAGAGGGGGAAAAAGTATGTATCTTACAATTTTGTCAGTTAATGAATAGGGAGAAAGTACAAAAGATTAAAAAGAGTGAATATTTACACCTTTTCCCTTCAAACCCCAACAGTCAGCAATGGATAACTCTAAAAGCTATCAAAAGATGATATATGTGAGGAAAATGTTTATAAATAGAAGTGAGACTTCAGAAGAAAGTCTCCTATGTTACAAAACACAAAATGTTACAACACATAATACATTTTTCTTAAAATTCTATTTTTATTTTAGCCTCTTATAAGCACTAACAGAAAACCCCACAGGTGGTACTATATGCGTTAATGGAAAAACACACGTAAGAGTCAAAGAAAGGAAGGGCTTTAAAGTAATCACATCCCAAGAAATAAGCACATTTAGTGCCTAGATCTTGGCTCCTAAATATCATTCTCCAAAAAATCAACCAGGGCCTTTTGAGGCCTGGACCACTTTATGGTGGCAGTAATGAAAGAGTAAGTACTCAAAAAAAGCATAGGAGAGACATCCCTGGTGGCACAAGGGTTAAGCCTCAGCACTAAGAAGCTATCAGCAGCCACTGCAGCATGTATTCAATTCCTGGTCAGGGAGCAACCCACATGGCGCAGCAGACCTCTCGTGTCTCACCCATTGCTCCCCTCAGCAGTGTATTTCAGTAGATCTGCCTGTTCTGCTCCCTACTCTGTCTCCAGTGAATCCTCTTACCCCCTGCACCTCTGGCCTACATTCCTGGTCTTGTATGTATAAATAAAATAAAATAAAAAGAATAAAACAAATATCCATGCATTTAAACAAGCAGAGGAAGATGGAGGGAGAAAGCCCCCAGAAAAAAATACAGTCCTCCTTTATAGTTTTTCCCACAGCAACTTGACTAATTGTTGTAGGCAAGATCTACTGTTTGATGCTAAAATCAATGGATAAAAGTCTGAGGAGAAACAGATATTTGCACAGTCTCAAAATATACCACCAAGATATTAATTATAAAGGGAAAAAGCCAACACACACCAGTTGAGCCAAGTGATTGATCAAGGTTAACATCACCACGTTACTTCAATATTCTTGCCAAAAATATAATAAAGGAGAATCATCAAAGAAGCCCAAACTGACATTCTACAAAATAATTAACCAGTATTCTTCAAATCTAAAGGTCATAAAAGACAAGGAAGACTAAGGAACTGTCATAGATTCTAAGAGACCAGGGAAATATAACTCAATACAATGTAGAATCCTGGATTGGATCCTGGAAAAGAAAAAGGAGAGCAGTGGAAAAAAATGGCAAAATCCAAACACAAGTCTGTAATTTAGTTAACAGTATTGTACCAATGTTAATTTCTAGTTTTGATAATTGCACTACATTTAGTTAACATTGGTGAAGCTGGGTGGGTAATGGTATAAGGGAAACTAAGCACTATTTCTGCAACTTCTCTTTAAGTCTAAAATACTGCAAAATAAAAAGTGAAAAAATGGGAGTTTTAAAATTTTAAAATTACACGGGCATTTTATAATACGAATCTTTAATCACAAAAGATACAGGAAAAGGTTCAAGTGCTATAGAGATACAAGTTTAGGAAAACTAAAGAAATAGGAACAATTTAAGAACTTAACCACAGATGGAGGAGGATGGAAAATTCTTTAGTACAAGAATGCTGGCTCTGTTTAGACATCTCCTGATCTGTATGCTAAACACATCTCCTGAAGAATGCAGCACACATTGACCACTGGCTTTACATACCAAACTCGGCTAACAAGAGTTTCTCACAGCAGTTGTACTAAAATATTTCAAGGCTTATTGTTTAAAAGAACTCTAACATTTGTCCAAGTAGGTACCAATCCAATTGCTTTTTAGTTAAAATAGTTTTTTTCTCAGTTCTAAAAGGCACGCTCTACTAACACTCAACAACCCAGAATATCTGCAGAGGAAAAAAGAATACTCTCATGGAGTTATACACAGGTATTTATAGGAGTTTATACATACATACTGCGATGCACATAATTGGATGCAATCAGTGAAACTATTGCCAAGTTGGTACCAATCAAGGTCTAGAAAACAACATGAAATTTCGCTTTTTTTTTTTTTTAAAGATTTTTATTGATTGATACATACAAGCACTGGGTATAGTCAGAAGCGCAGGAGGGTGAGAGAATTCACCAGAGCCAGAGCGGGGAGCAGAGCAGGCAGAAGGACCTAGGTACACTGCTGAGGGGAGCAGTGGGCGGCAGGAGAGGTCTGCGCACCATGTGGGACCCTCCTCTGGTGGCCGGGGAGCAGCCGGGGATTGAACCGGTGCTGCAGAGGCTGCGGGCAGCTTTGCAACCCAGCGCTCAACCACTGCGCCACCAGGGAGGCCCGAAAACTTCGCTTTAAATGATACTTAAAGAGTTCATTCTCTTTCCATGGATAGGCATAACAGAGTGATATCTGAACTCTAAACATGTATAACAATAGGAAACATCTATGACATTGCTAAGGAGAGTTCAAATAGCTTTGGCAGGCATTTTGGCAATGTCTGCCAAAATCTTAAACACATGCTTTGACCCAGCAATCCTACATCTGTGAATCATGAATACAAATGCAAAATTATGTAAGGCATTGTGTGTAATGAACTAGGAAAAACTAAGGTGTCTCATCAACAAAGATTTTAATTGCAATTAGTAAGTGATCCCTTTCCACCTGCCCATCTTCCATGATTCTGATATACCAATTATCTCTCATTATTCCTCCTGCTTCTAGTTTCTCATTCTATTGCATTCTTTCATACCTGAAAACAACCCAGTCTCTCCCATTCTTTAAATACTTTTCCCTCTACCCTGCTAACTCAAGTTATCCTATTTCTCTCCTCCCACTACAACCACCTTTTTCTGAGTAATCTACACTTTCTATTTCCTCCTTTCATGATTCACATTCATTCCAATTAAT